TTGTGCTTGAAATGACTAAACTGATAAAATCTACTAAATTAAAATATTTTATACGCAACTATTGTTGGCTCTAACATTTATAGGAGTTGTACTAATTACAAAAATCCCTTTATTAAACTAGAAAATAAAGGATTTGTCAAGTAAGATCCAAAATGAACTGATGTCGTTGAGTCTTTGTCTCTAAAAATTGAATAATTGCTCGAAGCTACCGAATTATGAAGATATTATGTTAAAATACATTATGTATTATATTACTACATATGTCCCAAATTCATTTTCAAATAATTATTGACCAGTTTGATTGACAATAGCACACAAAAATATCTATTGAAGTACAAAAAACGAAATCATATATCATTAAAAAAGTCAAACTCCAAAAAACATTAGAAACCTAAATTTATCATCTTAATTGATGATACTAATATGCTAAACAACAGGTAAATAAAATGGTTACAAAATATTAAAAGAAACTCAAAAGAAGCGACATGTTCAAGTTATAAGTCCTATTAAATTAAACTTCACCTTTGTTATTTTAACACGTGATTTTAGCTATTTTGTTACTCCGTATAAACTTATGGTAGATATGGATTCATCAACAATCTTAATTATACTCCGTACTATTTAGTTCAAAGACCAATGTCAATGGAAGATGTTTATTATATGTAGTGACTAGCAACTACATATACCATAACAATGAATAGTTGATTGGAATATCAACATATTTTGATTGAGTGACAAATGCTTCAAGATAAGTTTAACTTGAGGGTTTAATATGAAATGTTGTTGTTCCAATATAAATTACAATTGAGTATTGATGAAAAATTGTATTGTTGGGCATTGATGATAAATTGTACGTATTTTTGGGCATTCAGTCTTGCACATTGCGCGTAAAAGGCGCTAGTATGATGATAAGGATTGGCTCATGGAAACTCAAGATTTAACGGCGGCAACCACATTTACAACAGCTTTGATAATTGAGGGGTGAAATTTACAAACTCAAAAACACGGGGACATACTACATTTTAATGTGGGTACTATTTGAGGGGTTGAAAGTGCGATTATCCTAAAACTGAAAAGGTTGATCGATTTGTAGTATATATATTACACGTGGATCATGATATTCAATTGCATGCTTATAATACGCAATTGTGCTACCAATACATAGATTTAATACTAATATTCATTTTTTTAAACGTTATACTCGTTAAACATTTTTTTATCCCGGAAGGTAAACCACCCGCAGGTGGGGTAAATGCCGGGAAACATTTACCGGGTTTTATTAAGAAAAGTGAAAAGATACAAAAAGAGAGGGGGACTAGACCAAAACATAACATGCAATATACCGTTGTACAATGAGCACGTACTGTATAACTGGGTGTACAGTGTATGATCTCGTATATTCATGCTTCTAACACATGATGACGTACTTTTGTTAAAACGTACTTGCATGGTGGGGGCGGTTAACTTTTCGAGAGATGTGAGAAATAATTAACTTTTCCATATTTTAAGTAGAGATGGTACCAGGGCAAATCAGGAATGGTTATGCATATAACCGTCAGAGCCGTCTAATGAATTTGGAGGCCCCTGTTCCAAATGTAAAATTGGGGCCGCACTTTAATATAAAATATAAAATAAAAACTCAATTCAAATACTTATACTTAAATCAATTGAATACGTATTAAATAATGTAATAATTTTTTTTTATCTAAAACTTACTTAATTCTTGATTTAAAGTAACACACCTCATTATTCAAGCAATTTGAGTAAATGAGAACTAAAGGACCAACGAAAAAATGATGGATCTATATTTTTCTTCATTACTAATTGTATTATACTCATTATTATTAATATATAATACTAATAAATGTTTAAAAATTTGGGGCCCCATAAATATGGAGGCCCTGTTCCGGATAACCTAATTAACCCCCTAAAAAACGGCCCTGATAACCGTACCCGCCCCATTGAGTAACTTCCCCAATCCGTAACAGTCCCATTACGTACTCAACGGATATTTTTTATCCAAACCATAACCGCACCAACGTGTAACGGTTATAACCGCGGGTCATTGATATTTTAATATAAATATTGTAATTTTAAAAGGAAAATAAATGGTATCGCCTTGATGACTCTAGATGTGAGATGCCACTTAAAAGTTTTGTGCATCTACAAGACAAGAAAAAGACAATCTAACTTAATTTGAACCTAAAAATACTTAAATTGAAAAAAAAATAATCAAGAAAAAATATGACAATAACCAAATGAGACTATTAAAATCAATTATGAACTTTCATTCATAATCCGTACATTATAGTTAGTGCATCCATATGTACACAATGAAAAGAGAAAAATATTATCTTTTATTTATTGTGGGACAAATATATATAGAAAAAATGTAATAAAAATATAATTGAATATAAACGGGGCGGGTAATGGGACAGGCATATATAAAATCGTAACAACTCTGTTACCCATAAAAATAAAACGGGTATTCCCCGCCCCATACTCATTATCCAGTCAATATGGTTTTTCTCACTATGACAGGAGCGATTCAGTGGGGGTATTCATTGGACTGGTCACAATTGTCATCTCTAGCTTTAAGGCATCGTCATATTTTTTACTTTTGAAATAAGTATTGTGTAGTACTCCATATTACTTTCTATTTGCAGAATTATGGTGTCATACAACCTGCCTAAGTCCAAACACGTGAATAGTTTTAGTAATTGCACACATGATAAGTCCATATCTTGACACACATTTGATGTGTGTTGAGATTTGTGTTTATTAGTCTTTCTAGCTTAAATATGTCACGAAACACCTAAATAGCTGAAGTCATGGTTTACCGGGCTTTGGTTTGCATTTGGTGTTTAAAGAATTAATATCAAGAAATTGAGCCTGACACGGTGTTGGAGAATTGTGTGAGACACATCTAAGAGTTAGTGAGAAGTATTGCAGGTCCACAATTCACTGAAGGAGTGATCTTGAAATCAAGGATCAAGTACGAGATCAAACAGGAACGAATAGAGCTTGAAAACGGCAATAAGCTAGAATTACGTTCTGTCAATCGTTCGAGCATATCTTTTGTAGAAACATACAAAGATAAGATTAAAGTTTCATATGAAAGATAATTTAAAGGTTTACAAATCATATGAAGACACCGTGACGAGAATGTGAGAGGATCAAGGAGAAACAGAAGAGGAAGTCAGGTAATTGCTATTGAGATTTCAGGGTGCGACCTTCCACTATTTTATTCATGTCTTTTGATTGGATGATCCAATACCAGTTTTGCAAGTTGTAGTGGATAGAAGACTTCATTAGATGCAACTTTGGTGGAAAAAGCATAGTCAAATTCGGACGAAAAAGATGCACGCCGTGCGCCCGAAGTACGCACCCCGTGTGCGGAAGAAGAAATCACGTAGAGGCTACTAGAGGCCGCGCACGCCTTGCACTACCATTTTGTGCATTTTAGCTCCAGACGAACAGGCGCCACGCACTTCATGCCTGACTACCTGCACTCCAGGCGTCCTTTTTCGGCAAGAGTTGCTCTGTTTTCTATTTAAACAGTCTGTAAACCCCCTGTTTTGGAGAGAGAGCTTAGAGAGAGTGTCTAGCACGAAATATGAGAGCTTTCCAACCTTGGATCTTTAATATTCTGGGATTATTTTTAAGTTCTATTTTTTTAATGACAATTAATTCTTTCCTCCTCAATTCTATTGATCTTTCAATTATGAATCGTGAGTACATTTAATTAAGGATTTGAGATTGATGAAGGGGGTGTTAATCATGATTTAGGATTCGTTCTTGAGGGTTTAATTGTATGTTAATTATTTAATTTATGTTTAAATAATTTAATTAATATCTTTTGTAACCCGAAATGGCCGCTAGGATTATGATTGCACATAAAATTATTTAAGAGAGATCTAAATTATTCTAGGACACTTTCACACACTTAATCGTACGCTAAGAAATTAGTAACGATTAGGGAATCGTGCGCTCGCTCATTTTGGAAATAATTTGGAACTTGTCGCATGAGAGATCAGTCTGGTTCTCTAAATTATTGTACCTTATGCCACGAGAGCGGTAAGAACTTAGTATTGACCTGTGTTGCTCAATTAAATAATTTTCATGTGTTTAAGTCTGATCAGCCCTGAAATCTGATTGCGGGCTCCCGAAATCAATTCATGTTCCCTTCCTTCATTAATTAGAAAGAACCTTTAATTTAGCTTTATTTTTGCATTAAATAATTTCCGAACAAAATCAAATCTCATTTATTTTATTTATTTATTTTTAATCACTGAATTTATTTAATACATAATTCTCTTTTTCCATCCATATGGAGACGATACTCGTACTTATACTCTATACTGCTACACATATTTTAAGTATGAGGAAACTAACATCAACACACGTATTAATTTGAGAAAATCGCATTTTTAGTCCCTGAAATAGTTACCATATCGAAACGTCAGACCTGTGTTCCGAGTTTGTAAATGTTACCACTTAATTGTCCAAATTGTTGTAAATGTGGTTCTTTGAGGGGTGAAATTTACAACGTGGGCGAGAAGTACGTACATCTCATCCCCCAAAGGATCACATTTACTACAATTTGGACAATTGAGGGTGAACATTTACGATCTCCGAAACACGGATCTTACGTTTCAATACGATGACTATTTAAGGGACTAAAAGTGTGATTTTATCTTAATTTTGTACAAAAAATTTATACATAAATCGTACACATGTGTGTTCACATGCAACTGCTGACTTTTTCTAAAAGAAATATCTATTTACACATACAATTAGGGGCGTGTTCAATTTGCCCATATACAAATGCAGTTCGGTTTTGAAAAATTACAATTGTTGGTGTACGGTTGTGTACTACTATAATTATATGCACAAACGTAATTTTCCTTTTTTATTTTGTGCCCACATTTTAGGAGTTGTCGTGCAGGTAGCTTAGGTGCAAAAGCAAATTGGGTTTCTAAAGAGTAAAAGTGCACGTAATTTAATTAAGAATACACTTGTTACTTTTTGTAGAATACAATATGAGCCAAATAAATTCTTCTGGATGACTAAAAGAGCAAAATGGCTTGTACTTCCATTACTATAATAGTTTCATTGCAAAGAGAAATTAAGGGCATTTAGGTGCTACAAAATAACAACGACAATGTTTATCAGGAGTATCCCACGAACATGTTCCAGATGAACCTGGTCCAAATTGCTTAATACATGTGGGTATACAAATTTCCCCCAATCCGTCACCTTCACATGGAAGATTTTTTTGTTTTGGATCAACGTAGCAAATTCTGTCACCGTTTACGTAGACATTTTCAGGAATGATCATGTGAACTGCAAACAATTATATAAGTGTGATGAAATTAGTGCAATATATATAAGTATAATCTGGATTAAAAAGTGGCATATTCACGACAGGTTTTTCTTGAAAATATCATTTAGGGCACACAAAATTTGACCAAATGCAACCCTCGAAGTATAAAGTAATACGTAAATGATTTCTTACCAAAATTTATATTCAAAAAGCATGTTTTACAGTATCACAAAAACATAGGTAAATGATTCGTAAAAGAAAGGTAAAATGATAGTGCAAAACTAATGTTTTCCAGTATCACAAAAACATAGCATAGATTCAAAAATTATTTTATATATATACCTGCAGCAATTGTAATTAGGAGAGCCAAATAAATGTTGATAGGATAGTAGTGTGTCATCTTTGCAATCGTATAAGAGCTTGTGCTTGAAAGGATTTGTTGCACCACGGGTCTTTTTATAGGTGTTAATACACACTACTCGCACCCATTTGGATAGTAAGTTATGACTTCCCTCGTTTAGCTTATTTAAATTTGTAGAATAATAATGACAAGATATTCTGTAATCTGTCACGTGAAATGGACGAGCATGATTTCTTACCAAAATTTCAAAATTTGGATTTGATATACTTACTATAAGAGAGATGTAAAATAATATCAAGTACTTTTTATTTAAATAATGACGACTAGTCATGCACGAATTGTGATTTATTAGATCTTGTCTTGCGGAGTGAAAATTGTAGCTCATTTAAAACATGGAGTTACATAGGGGTGTTTGGATCTGATTCTTAAAACTGTTTCTGCTCCCTGAGGGAGCAGAAGCAGAAGCTGGAGTGTTTAGGTAAAAATGTAGAAGTGATTCTGGTGCTCTTTTTTACTCCTAGAATCGGTTTTTTTAGAAGCTGGGGGGTGACCAACTTCTGGAAACTGATTCTGATTCTGCTTTAAAAAAGAAGCAGAAGCAGAATCAGTTCCAAACACCCCCATACTCCGTACTTTTTTGTGGTCAATAACATGTACGTAGGATGTTTTTAAATGTATTGAAAAAATCTTGTATACTCCGTATCATGGTCAGTTAAATCTAGTCTGATTTGATCTGGTATAAACTGATCTGGAAAAATTTAGTTCTCTGTATTTTATAATTATTGAAGTCTAGACTAATCTTATTTTGATTTGTTTTAGTTTGATCTAGTCTGGATTAATCTATTTAAATTTAGTCAAGTCAAATATGATCTAGTCTAGAATTAAAAACAAATTAAGTAAAACATGGGTACCTAACCTTTTATTGGTGTTAGAACTTAGAATATTCTTCAATCTGCACTAGTAGCATTAACGAAAACTAGTGTTGTACTAACATGTTAATTGAGTAATTGTTGGTTTTAATAATTTCAATAAAACATTGCTATCATTATTATATTGTTTATTTACCTACTAATAATTGTGTGACCATATATCTTAATAATTCTCATGACAAGGAAATCCGCATTTCATGAATTGTGATTGAAAATTGTAGGATTTACTCTCTAGAATAAATTGTAATAAATAAATGTTATTAAGTTACGTTTTTATCCATCATTTTTCCACGTTTAATATTAGAGAATTTTTTCTACATTGATCATACGTACTTTAGAATATATATTAGGTGTCAAGTATTTTTGTATTCTTGTCCACGCGAGAAATCTGAAACGTAGGGTGCAGTGGTCGAACGAGTTCACCTATTTATGAATTCCATTCTTCCCAGGCCATAATAGAAAATTGAACTCATTCATTCACATAGAATGACCACATTGCTCACCACAGTTTTTAAATAATTATTAAATAATAAATTATGGGAATATGAGACAACTCTTCATTAAAAGTCTTGACACCGAAAACGTCCAATATTCCTCATGGAATATTAGTACGATAAGTTCGATGTGTGCATCATTTTAAAATAAGCATAAAACAGTACCAAATGAGCATATATAATTTACAAAATGAGTATCAAAAAATTCAAAAGTTCATTTGTGTATGCCTATGATTTTGGACGTTATACTCATCTGAGTTTAATATAAAACTAATTTTTAATGTGCTTAATATTCAGTTGTGTATGTTCACTTCTTTTATGTGTATACTCATTTGAGTTTAACATAATGTAGTATGATACGCTTGAAATGTGCAACATTTTAGAATGAGCATAATGAGGAACCAAATGAGCATACATAAATTACAAAATGAGTATCAAAAAATTCAAAAGCTCATTTGTGTATGCTCATTCATTTTCGGTTTTATACTCATTTGAGTTTAACATAAAACTCATTTTTAATATGCTCATTCATTTTCGGTTTTATACTCATTTGAGTTTAACATAAAAATCATTTTTAATATGCTCAATATTCATTTGTGTATGTTCATTCCTTTTAAGTTTATACTCATTTGAGTTTAATATAAACTCATTCCAAATTGGTCAGCAAGTCAGTCTCCTAACAACTTGTCGTCCCCGTATTCTTCTTCTCGCAGCACCGGCCAACGAAGAAACCCCCAAGAGCCGTGGTATCTTGCGCAGCAGGAGAGCTTGAGGAGAAGAGAGCGGCGAAAGGAGTGGTCTGTGCGCGAGATCAGATCAAAGAAATCAAGCAAGATTGAAGAAACATGGGCGATTTCCTGTGCGAGAACCGCAGAAGCAGGGGCAAAGATCGAAGAAACAGTTGCTCGTTGCTAGGGTAGAAGCGCAGAAGGGTAAAAGGGCCGGCTGTACCGTGTAATTTACCACCAAACATCATTACAGATAAACTCAAAAAAGGACTAACCTTCGACAAAAGCTCCGTAGATTTAGACACACATGATAATTGATAATGAACCGCAAAAATCATTAACCTTGCGATATGCAAATATATATTTAACTTGATGAAAATGAAATTGTAAAAACAAATAAAGTATAAACAAGCGATCAATGTCCCACCATCCAACTTTCTTGCCCGATTTCATCTCGACTACCTAAACACTAGATGACATTTATTTTGACAGTTTTGGGGACCAAACCGTGCGGACCTGCGGATCCAGTTTCGGTCTCGGTCTCGGCCTGGATTCCTTTTTTAGGCTTTAGACCAGTTGTGTGAGAGTCCAAATGTTAAAAATGGACTCTATCCATATGGGACAGTGTTTTGACTCCTGTTTCTCTGCATTCCAGCATTATCAATAAAATACATTCTGCATATTTTTTACAAAACGATTTAGTAAAACATTAGTTAAATTATTATAATTAATGTTTTCATTTTTTTTATTTTCTCTGAATAATTATGAAATAAAAAAGTACACATTTCCGTGTAAAAATAAATAAATTTCATTAATTTTTTAAACATTTTTCGGTTAACGAAAAATGAACTTAGTTTAAGGATGTTTTCTTTTGGACTATTTTCAGTCCCAGACCAGACCAGACTTAAACAGACCAGACCAGACTTCCGTAGTTATAAAATACACAGAGATCGGACGTTTAGCAGACCAGACCAGCAAATTTCAGTCCAAAAGAAAACATCCTAAGTAAAGTTCAATTGTGGAATATTAAATTATTTGTGCAGGATCCATGAATTAAAAATTTGTCTTTCTTGTTAATTTAGGTTCAAGAAACCTTCTACGGTTATAACTTCAATTTTTTTTACATTTTATTATTTTATAAATTACATATTGATGTCATATGAAAGGTCATTAAAATTCATAATTTTGATATATTTTTTGAAAAAATCGGATAAAAATAATAAAGTTATAAAGGTTTTAAAAAATCTGGGATTTAATGACATCACCACCATGACGTCATCCAATTGCATCTCTCCCTCCGCATCACGGCAGACAAACGCTTGGTTTAACACCTGTCGTTTGCTTTGCACTCTGTCGATAGACCTTCCATTTTAAACACTTTCCACTCATCCACTTTTAACCCATTTTTTTGGGTTGCGATTTCTCCTAAATGAACATTAATATACTGTTAATGAGCAATAGTCCAATGTTAATGAGTATTAAGTGTCTAATAATGAGCACCGTGTTATTACAAGAAAGCTGATATTCAGGGGCGTAGCCAGGACACTGGGCTAGACTGGGCCGGTACAAAGAATATTATTGGAAAAAAAATTACACGAAATTTTTTACACTGAAAATATTGACATTTTTCAAATTTGGGGTGGGTCAGGGCCTAGCCTGGGCACCCCCTAGCTCCGCCCCTGCTGATATCACAACTAAAAAAAGGTGGCATTTCGTAATTTTGGTGAAAGTCGCGGTTTTCGTTAGATAAGCAATAATACACTTTCAATGAGTATCAGACGTATTCTACTGAACATTAAGAGTCGAATAATGGGTATTGTGATATCAACTTCATACTCCGTATATTGTAATTCACTTTTTTTTTCTTTTTTTTTTTCTTTTATAAAAACTCATTAATTTCAATATGTGAATCTAATATAATATGATACTTTTGAAATATGCATTGTTATGACATTTTAAAAATGAGAATAACATGAGTATCAATTGAGCATATGTAACTTACTAAATGAGCATAAATATGAAAATCATAAGGTTTGTTAGTTGGGCATCACGACATTTTCATTGAGCATCAAGTCTCCTATATTGAGATGAAAGTATTGCTTTATGTTAAATGAGCATCAATGAACTTTTAATTAGCATTAGACCTGTTATATTGAGTATCAGGCGTCTAATATTGAGCATCGTAATCTATGCTTCATATCTACTAGTTCACTTTCTTTTTAATTTTTTCTTTTATAGAAACTTATTAAATTATATCTACAATCAATCTCTATGAAGTTCAATATGTGAATCCAATGTAATATGCTACTTTTGAAATATACATTAATATAACATTTTAATATGAAAATAACATCAGTAATAAATGAACATACACAACTTACCAAATGAGCAATGATATCAAAATTGTAAGCTTTGTTAGTTGAACATCAAGAGATTGTCATTGAACATCAAACTTGCTCTATTGAGTACCAAAAACATGCAATTGAGGAGTATCATGACCTCTGTTCCCATTATATAATCTAACTCTTATGCGGATCTAATATGATATTTTTAAAATATGTATTAATATGACATTTTAAAATGAGCACAAAACCAATATCAGATGAACATACATGATTTACCAAATGATCATCGAAAAATTTAAAAGCTAGTTTGAATTCTCTAATGTGTTCAAATGTTTATTTGTGCATATTTAGTTTACACTACTCATTTTAATATAACACAGAACTCATGCTAATAATTGACACACAATATTTAATAACTAATAAATACTTATCTTAAAAGTAAAAATAGAAAAATAAAACATTTATACCTAAAATATTTTATAATGGACTAATTAAAAAATGATGTTAGAAAGATGATTGAAAAAAGGAGAAAAAAAAACTCGACACCGTATTAATATTTTATATTATAAATTTTAATAATGATTGAATAAAATTAAAGCAAAAGGCTC